TAATTTGCTTGGTATTGTATTGTTGTATTGTGTTTTTGGGGCTTCGGCCTGTGTAAGCCACATCGAGTCCCTTGGGAGATGCTGGCGGGGTACAAATAAAGTTATAATAATAATAATAATAATAATAATAATAATACTTATTTTATTCCAATGTTTACAGCCCGGCCGTGGTGTCAGTAATTTACAGCCACGGTTAGAGGATCGCAGCTTGATTGAGTCTGAGTTGATGTTTTCATATGTGCATGTGTTTTATTTTATTGTATTTTATAATGTGCTCACTCTTATGTTTTGTTTTTAGGCTTTTTGTGCTGTCAGTAAAACACACCGAGTCTCTTCAGGGAGATGGTGGTGGGATATAAGAATAAAATTGTTATTATTATTATTAATAATACTTTTATTAAAAGTTTCCAAATTACAATTTAAAAAGTGGGAAAAAGGGTAAAAACATAGGAGAGAAGGGAAAGGGGTAGTTGAGGAAAAAAGAGAAGAGAAAAAAAAGAGAGAGAAAAAGGTGAGGGGTATCAAAAGGGGTGGAAAATATGGGGAGGTACAGAGAGGGTTAAGTATAGGGGTATTTGTGCTTCCATTCTTCCCTATATTGTTTTAATTTTTCTTATAGTCCTTTTTGCTGCTTTTTGTTGTATCCTCAGTGATGGCATCTTCTGTCAGCTTTCTTCTATTTACATTAATAATTTTACTGTATTTTATTTCAGCCATTCTGTGAAAGGAATCCAGTCTGTTGTTACTTAGAGACTAATGATGTTAATTTATCTATGCTCATAATTTCTAGCATTTTCTCAATCCATTCTTCTCTTGATGGTTGGTCTTTTTGTCTCCATACTCGGGCATAGACTAACCTCGCCACTGTAGTTGCATATGTTTAACTTTGTTTGTATTCCAGTACATGTTTGTCATCCCTAATAAAAATACTTGGATGCATTGGGAATTTTTCTTTCAATTAATTGTTATCATCATCATCATCATCATCATCATCAGTTAGGTCTTAGCCTTCCAATGGAAAGAGAGTTTTAGTTTGCTCTGCCTTCAGACTGAATTCTGGGAACTATAACCCCTAAAAGTAACTTTTCCATACACTGCAGCAAACTTAATTTGCCATGAAGCAAACACCTGGCAGGGAACCAATTATTGTTCCCTAGAGCCTGCCTCTCTTCTTTACACATATTTTAAAAGACTCATTTGCTCCTTCTTAGAATTTTTTAAGTGTAGACATCCAGGGCCTCTGAAAGAAATTTTGCAAGGCAGAACAAGACTGCTTTGAGCTCCCTTTCCTCTCAAAATTGAGGATTTAAGGTCCCAACAGACCTTAAATTCTCAGTTAAGTCTTTATAATAAAGATAACAGTATAATAGGAAATTTTACTGTTGAGGTTTTTCCTTCTTTGCAATAGGGTTATGATAAAATATGATCAAAGTAGATAGCTTTTGAGTGTCAGAGATTCATGCGCCCCTCCGTTGCTCTCTGCACCAGCTGGACCTCCCAGAGGCCCTGGAGATGTCCACTTACCCCTCAAAATCATGATGCACAAAACAGCCCTGAAGGGCTGTAATGAAATACCTTCTGCAGGAAATATGCACTAAAACAAACTATACTTCTATTTCAATCTCCACTGTGTGTAAGAGTTTAAAAGCTTCTTTAAAAAGCACCTGCATTCTGGTGCTGAGATAGCTGCCACAGCGCACTGGCTGTATTCATATATTCTTGTAATGCGCATCATATTTTTCTTTACTCCTAGAAGGTTACGAGACTCAAGGGACAAGAACAGCACATTTAACATCCCCAGATGGAAGCTATCCAAGAAGACACGGGAGGGAGAGAAGGAGGGAGGGAGAGAGATGCCCCTGACAGCATCTCTGAAGTTCAGGACACAAGGCCTCTCAGCGTAACAGGGAGATATTTCATTAAAACCAGCATTTTGTCTAATTTATGAGATGTGTCTTTACTTTATGAGATGGACTCTTGAAACAAGCCCAAGAGCAGAAGATCTTTGTTTGATAAGTGATTACTCAAAAGCAAGAAGGCCACCATTTCAACGGCCCTTGGCAAGATGACCTTACGGGATTGGTTTCTTAATGGTCTTTGTTGCATGGATCTGCAAAATTGTATTGGCATGTGTTACTATCATTCTGTTGCCATTATTCGTCAGATTTATTTGTCAGATACGAGGGAGGAGAAGCTATACATAAAAGTTAGGCTGGAAAACAAAACATGTGCAGGAAGCAAGGGGGAAAGGTGGTCAGGAATTTCTGGGAAAGATCTAAAGGGCCAATATTGGCTTTTTGTGTGATACTGAATCTCCAGAAAGTAACTAGTAAGACTAGTGGGCTTTGAATAAAGCTCCAGCTAACATAGTGGTGTGAGATTCTGGGACCTGAAGTCGGTCTGGTGCTGTCAGATATTATGGCAATAGCCAAACTTGAATTTTTAAATATATATTTAAAAAAAAATAGTGAACTTTCATGAGCTTGTTAAATTGAGGTTCATGTTTTTATGGTTGAAATAATTGTTTATATTTTTATGGTTAGATATAACTTTATTATGTAACTGCAATATCAGCTTTTATTTATAATTGGTCGTTTAGTGTCAATTGGTGTTGGGATTGGGTGGGTTATTAATTGTATCCTTGTCTGCTTTTGTGGGGAGGCACTGAATGTTTGCCTCTATGTGTTTGCCTCTATATGTTTTTAGTGTGTTGTAATCCGAAAAGGCAGAGTAACGAGAGACCAAATTGCCAATATCCACTGGATAATGGAGGAAGGTGAGTTTCAGAAAAACATCTATTTCTGTTTTATCGACTATTTTAAGGCCTTTGACTGTGTGGATCACAATAAACTGTGGCAAGTTCTTGTTGGTATGGGGATGCCAAGTCATGTTGTCTGTCTCCTGAGGAATCTGTATAATGACCAAGTAGCAACAGTAAAAACAGACCATGGAACAACAGACTGGTTCAAAATTGGGCAAGTAGTAGGGCAGGGCTGTATACTCTCACCCTACCTATTCAACTTGTATTCAGAATGCATCATGCAACGTGTGGGCATTGATGAATCCAAGGCTGGAGTTAAAATTGCTGGAAGAAACATTATCAACCTTAGATATGAAGATGATACCACTTTGATGGATGAAATTGAGGAGGAGCTGAGGAGCCTTTTAACCAAGGTGAACGAATAAAGCGCAAAAGCTGGATTGCAGGGAAACATAAAAAAACCAAGATTATGGCAGCCAGACTGATTGATAACTGGCAAATAGAGGGAGAAAATGTGGAGGCAGTGACAGACTTTGTATTTCTAGGCGCGAAGATGACTGCAGGCACAGACTGCTGCCAGGAAATCAGAAGGTGTTTAAGTCTTGGGAGGAGAGCAATGACCAATCTCGATAAAGTAGTGAAGAGTAGAAACATCACACTGGCAATCAAGATCTGCATAATTAAAACAATGGTATTCCCTGTAGTAAACTATGGATGCAAGAGCTGGACCATAAGGAAGGCTGAGCAAAGGAAGATAAACACTTTTGAACTGTGTGTTCAAGGAAAATTTTGAGAGTGCCTTGGACTGCGAGAAGATCAAACCATACCATACTCCAGGAAATAAAGCCCAAGTGCTCACTAGAAGGAAGAAAATTGGAGGCAAAGCTGAAGTATTTTGGCCACTTAATAAGAAGACAGAAAAGCTTGGAGAAGATAATGATGATGGGGAAAATGGAGGGGAGATGGAAGAGGGGTCAACCAAGGGCAAGATGTATGGATGGTATCCTTGGAGTGATTGGCCTGAGCTTGAAATGGAGGGAGGTGGCCATGGTGGACAGGGAGCTCTGGTCCATGAGGTCACGAAGAGTGAGAAAGGACTGAATGAATAAACAACAACAATTCTGCCCTGAGTGCCCCTGGAGAGATAGGTGGAATATAAATGTTGTTGTTGTTGTTGTTGTTACTACTACTACTACTACTACTACTACTACTACTACTACATCTAGAGAGCCAAGGATTCACTGGTTAGTCTATACTGATACTTAAAACAGTGGTGGTTATTATTATTATTATTATTATTATTATTATTATTATTATTATTATTATATCTAGAAAGCCAAGGATTCACTGGTTAGACTACACTGATACTTAAAACAGTGGTATTATTATTATTATTATTATTATTATTATTATTATTATTATTATTATTATTATTATTATTATATCGAGAGAGCCAAGGATTCACTGGTTAGACTACACTGATACTTAAAACAGTGGTCAATGGACCTGTGCCAGTCCAAGAACAATCACCTGCCAACCCCTACTGGGCTTCCAGGGGGAAAAGTTGTAGCCAAAGGGCACACATATCCTGACATACTCAGGAATGTACATGAGATACTGGGTTATAACATGCAAAAATTATTTCCTTCCTCTCATTTCAGCGTTCCAAGAATCCTTCACTTGGGAAAAACAATTTTACTCTCTATCAGAAAATTGCTAATAGATAGGTATAGAGAAGGGTATAGATATATACCAAGCAACAGATTATATTTTAAGCAAGAGCCTAAAACTCCTGTATCTCATAACTGCAGGATCCTTTTGCATAATGGATAACACCGTTCTGTCCCACTGAGCCCTTCTGGGCTCTTCTTACCTAATCTTGCCAGTCTACAGCAATGCCAGACGGTCAACCGGATCCAAATCACTTATAAGCAACATCAGAAAACGCTCAATATTTTCCGCAAGGCAGGAGGCCCATATGCACAAACAATTAAGCTCGTGGCTTCACCCCCTACTTCTCCAGCTTTAAAAATTAAAACCTGTGCAACGAATTAAAAATTAAAACCTGTGCGGCTAATGAGTAGGCTCCTGCAAACAGCAGAGGGCTAACATCTGGAGCGACCAAACTGAAAATAGGATGCAGCAAAAGGAGAAAAGGAAAGAGTAACAAGTTGAATTGAAGTACCCATCCCTACGATGTTCCACAGAGACACCTGAGGACAACCCGCCGGCAGCTTACCTGTATCTTGACGGCGATGAGGACGGAGCTGAGCTCTTTGTCCAGTTCCCTCAACACGGTCAGCTTTTTCAGACGGAGACTGCACAGCCTGTAAGACAGAGAGAATGGGATACATTCAGGCACCGCCACCATCCCAGGGCCCCTGCCACATGGTACGAGGCGCTCCGGAGACAGCCTGGAAGGTCGGCAGGCCACCGCTGCCCTTCAGTCGTCGCAGGCTTGGCCGGTGAACATGGGGATTCATGCGCCACGGAGAAAGCGGATCAGAAAAAGAGGAAAGGAGGAAAATTAACAGAGCTAAAGCAGGATTAAGGGGATTACGCTGTGACAGGAAGTTGCAGGCCATGCGGAGATGAGATCCCTGCCCAAAAGGAGCCACGGCCAGCTTGGTACACAGGCAACTCATCAACTAGTGCCATTTCTTGACAAAGCTGCAGCAGAGTGCAAACCTCCCCTTTGCCCTTAATGCAATCTAAGGGATGATGTGTATTTCTGCCCCTTGTTGACAAACTGCATTTCACCACGTGACACATGGTAAATAAACCCCATGTAATAAGCAGAGGAAAACCGACAAGAGCCCTGGGACAGCTTTCTTCCTGACCTGGCAAGCAAGACGGTGGATCTGGATTGAAATCTCTGCTCAATTAAACCTCTGGAACAACTAACTCTTCTTCTCCATCTGGTCATCCACACATCATTTCTCATAAATCAGTTTCTTTTTGCTTCTGACTGATCAGAACAAATGTACTACATATCAAATTTGCCATAAGAAAATGGATTGTCAAGGTTGCTGAACTGGCCCAAATTGACAAATTAATGTGGATTTGAAGGATAAGCTAACTGAAGATTTTTTAAAAGATTAGAAACCATTTGTGGAGTTTTTGAGCAATAATAAATCTAGCTATCTGTGGTTATGGTTATTAGTAATTTCAGGAGATTGATTCACGAAATGACAGATTTTTTAAAAATTCATTTTTCATTATAGTCAGGACTGGTGTGGGTGTATCAGAGCTCTACTGTGTTTCACTTACATGTCTTTTCTCCTTCTCTCACTTTCTTTTACTTCTCTCTTTCTTTCTTTTTTATGTATATTGTTTTGATTGTATATTGTATTGTTCCCATCAAAAGTCAATCAATCAATAATAAAAAAATGCTGACTGTAGCCAATGCCCTTAAAATTAGATGGAAATATATATAGTATACTAAACCAGCTCTATATGGTTCTGGCCCAGCTTACTTGTCCGAACGCATCCACCCCTACGTCCCACCTCGTAATCTAAGATCATCTGCGAAGGTCCTGCTCTCACTCCCGTCAACAGCACAGATGCGCCTAGCGGGGACGAGAGACAGGGCCTTCTCGGCTGTGGCACCCGCCTATGGAACACACTCCCGAATGAGGTAAGATCCGCTCCCTCCCTCCTGACTTTTAGAAATAAATTAAAATCATGGTTTTTGGACCAGGCCTTCAGGCAGTAGAATAAACATATGCAGCATTTCGGAAAGACAATGACTGGAACGGCAATTTGACGGACAAGACTGTTTTATGGTTTTAATGATTGTTTTATTGCTTATGGATGTATTGTTTTAATTTGATTTATGTCCAACTGTAGTGTATAATTGTAATTGTTTGTACTGGCATTGAATTTTGCCATTACTTATATGTAAATCGCTTTGAGTTCCCCTTGGAGTGAGAAAAGCGGTATAAAAATACTGTAAATAAATAAATAATCAATAAGCCATAACAAGAAGCCACAGAGGGCCGCTGGGCTGCTGAACTTGTTGATCGGAAAGTTGGTGGTTTGAATCCGAAGGACGGGGTGAGCTCCCACTGTTAGTCCCAGCTTCTGCCAATCTAGCAGTTCAAAAACATGCAAATGTGAGTAGCTCAATAGGTGCCATTTCTGTGGGAAGGTAACAGTGCTCCATGCATACATGACCTTGGAGATATCTACGGACAGTGATATCTCTTAGAAATGGAGAAGAGCATCACTCCCCAGAGTCGGACATGACTAGACTTAATGTCAAAGGGAAACCTTAATCCATAACATTGGGGGACCATATATCATGAGTGTGCTCTTATTTTTGTTTCACAATAACTTTTGGTCTTAAGCAAACAAAGACTGAATGATGGAACATGGGAGCTGGAAATGTTTCGCCCAGAAAAGAGAAGAGTAAGAATGGATTATGACAGCCATGTTTAAATATCATCGGGAAGATCGAACAAGCTTGTTTTCTCTTGCTGTAGAGAATAGACCACAAACAGATGGCTTCAAATGACTGCCTCTGACAGTGGTGAACTCTACTTCTTTAATGGTTTTTAAACAAAGGCCGGATGGTTTTTGCGGTCTTCTCCAACACTATGAATCAAATCAGTTTTATAAGTACCAAATGGAGCTGGGGTGGTTAAACAAAGGCAATTAGCAACTCCATACTGACAAATAAATTCAACAGCATCTGGGACCCAAATTTGGGAGTTCTATAGGAGATTAAACTGCATATTGTGAAAAGTTTCTTTTAAAAATCATTTTGTTTTTATTACTTGATGTGGTATTTGAAAACTAGTCTAACTAAAAGGCAGGTAAATATTCTGGGGTGACATGTAATATGGGTTACCACACATCACACCAGAATATTTACAATCAAAAGTTTTACATGACTCTGATCACTAGATATTAGTTGTTACTGGAGCAACTGTGGTCATGGGTGGATATAATTTATAGGACTCTGTGGGGAAGGAGTTTGTTTTGCTATTGGTACTGAAACTTTAATAAAAGGTTTTTAAAAAGAGGAAGCAACATGGGGTGATTCAATGAGCCTTGAACCTTCAGGCAGAGCTGTGCACAAATTCCGCTATTGCAATGCAGCAGCCTGGAAGTAAGCATTTGGCACGTAACTCATCCTTGTGAGACTCCTACTTTTATTTTCTTGCTTCTGGCATGTAAACCTGCAGAGATAGTTTTCGATATTTTCCCAAATTTCCCCAAAGGGAGGAGAACACAAAAACCAAGCCAAGAAAATCCACAGCTTGTTACGGCAATTATTTCCAAAGCAAGATGCTACCAGGGAATGAAAAAACAAAGAGGCAGTAGGACAGGAGGGTGAAATATGCAAGACAATGCCATGTTCTCCCTCCCCATAAAGTTTCATGAATGATAAAGCGCAATTATAGGATAAAAGCTTCACCTGCAAGCACCCCAAGAATCTCTAGCGGCAGTGTTTTCACAGCTGGAGGCCTGGATGTCTTCCATCTTTCATCCACAAAGTCATACACCCAAAAGCCATTTTATCCATCCATATATATATATGCTTCTCTCATTTTAATATAATTGGCCTTTAAAAAAAACCCCAGAAAACACACACACAAGGTAAATATACTTTACATCTCAGTTAACTACATTTTAGCATCTGGTGCATTAGTACAATTCTAAAAATCACACTAAATGCAATTTGAGAGTGATTACCTGAGTGTTGGACAATGGCTCTGCAGCCCAGGGTTCAAATCCCTGTTTAACCATGGAAACTCACTATGTGGCCTCAGGTAAGCCACACTCTCTCTACCTCAGAGGAATCATAGAGTTGGAAGAGACCTCGTGGACCATCCAGTCCGACCTCCTGCCAAGAAGCAGGAAAATTGCATTCAAAGCACCTAATTAATTTTTAATATTTCTGATAAGCCATGCCTCAAAGAGCAAATTTATTGATTTATTATTGATTTATTTACAATATTTATATTCCGCCCTTCTCACCTCGAAGGGGACTCAGAGTGGATTACAATGTACATATACATGGCAAACATTCAATGCCATAGACACACAACATATATAGACAGACAAACAGAGGCTATTTAACATTCCAGCTTTTTCATGAAGATATTCTAGCCACCAGGGGAGCTGATGCTTCCTCGTCCATTTGTGACACTGATGAAGTACTTCTTATTCTTTGCATGCTTGCTGGAGATTTTTATGGCACTGTCTTTTGGGCTGCAAAGGTCGACAGCAAGCTACACAAATTGGTCGGAAGCTCACTCTGACCTGGGCTGGCTTCGAACTCGATGACCTTTCGGTCAGTAGTGATCTTAGAGTCCCGGTGCAAATTCTGGAGGTGGATTATGTGTAATCCTGTATTTCCCAGGGCTTGGAGAGTTATTTTTGGTAACTATAGCTTCAAAATTCCTTCAGCTAGCAGATAGTTGTGGTGCAAATCTGACACTCTGAAAATTTAGGTTCTTTTCCCCTAAGGGGTTGCCATAAGTCAAGGTGCACAATCAACAACACAGTCCTCCAACAAAGATTGCGACCAATTCCAATTTGCACTGAATGTAGGACTGACATAGACTGAGGTGTTAAGTCTTGATGTCAGATTCAAGGAGCTTGGCTCCTGCTCCTGTTGCAAATCTGGGATGGGGGCAAGGGCTCAATTACGAATCCCCCACAGCAGGCTGAGCTCCCTATAACAGGATTGACTCTACCCTGCTGCCCTCAAGAAAAGGTCGGGTTGGGAGGGGAGAAGCAACTGGTTCCTTTTACAGATCAGGAAAGCAGGCAACAACCTTGAAAAGGGCTTCTCTTCTTTATAGTGTATCCAACCCTACCTACATTCTCATCCTTGGCATGTGCCAGGTGCAGATCTAATCTGTCTCTCAAAATAAGCCCAACTTTGAAAAATGAAAGATCTTTACTATATAGCAGAGTTTTCCAAATTTAGTGTCGAAACACACTAGCGCAGGCATAGGCAAACTTTGGCCCTCCAGGTGTTTTGGACTTCAACTCCCACATTTCCTAACAGCCTACTGGCCGTTAGGAAATGTGGGAGTTGAAGTCCAAAATACCTGGAGGGCCAAAGTTTGCCCATGCCTGCATTAGTGTGTTGGCTGCAGTGTGTAGTTATGTCACATGAATTCAATGGGTAAACCTCTGCAGCTATATGAAACAAGAAGAAAATAATGTATTTTTAGAAATATAAATTAAAACCTTTAATGAGATACGTTGTGTTCCCATACATTTTGTTATTACAGTGTATTTATGTGTCTGTATCTCTTATAACAGGTTGTCTTAACCTCCGGTTTGCTAATAGAACTGGATTACTGTG